GATGTTAATACAGCCGTTGAGACCTTCAAGAGTTTCTCGAATAGTATTTTGGAAAATTTCAGCTGCAGAGGTTACTCCGAAATTAAGGCGCTTATATCTCCTCAGGCCGACATGGGTGCTAAACGTGGTAACATAGCGTGATTCTTCTGAGAGTTCAAGTTGGTGATAACCTTGATTGAGGTCAAGCTTTGAAAATACTTTAGCGTCATTTAGATCTGCTATGACGTCATCTATGGTGGGGGTTATGTGACGTTCTCGCTGGATTGCCTTGTTGACAGCCCGCATATCCACACAAATTCTAACATCGTTCGGACTTTTGGGTTTCGGCACAACAACGATTGGAGAAACCCAGGGCGTTGGACCTTCTGTTTTCTCGATGATGTCATCCTTTTCCATCTCTTCAAGCTTTTTCTCCACCTGTTTCCGTAGATGGAATGGTATCTGCCGATGGGTTTGAGCAACGGGTGGAATGGATTCGTCAATATGTAGCTTCACCTTATGATCTGTTAATTTTCCAACGCCATTGAATAATTCCTCAGGTATTGCAAAATTGCAGGATACAGTTGTGTTCTTAGCAGTGTCCACAGCGTTAGTAATTGCAATCAAACCAAGATGCTTTGCAGTATTGTAGGATAACAAAGAACCTCCAAGGCGACCGTTGTTGCTAACGACAAAAAACTCGGCAGCATCAATTCGTTTCCGCGATTCCACAGTAGCAGTAAACGTTCCAAGGACACGGAGGGGTTTATCGGACTTGTAGGGGTAAATGTTGATAGAACTGTGTTGCAATGTTATTTCCGGTTTGAGGGCTTCAAAATCCTTTTCTTCGAGTAAATTAACTGTCGCTCCAGTGTCAATAATGAATTTAACTTTGGCTAGGTTTTGAATTCGTAAGTTAACCATTGGATGTTTGGTATTTTCGTCTGTATCTTGCACCATAAACGTATATTCATCCGACTCGGAGTGTTCACTGGTATTGTCACTTGCGATTTCTTCGTTTACATATTTAACCGTCTGACGTTTGTCACTTTCATGGTGGCGATGTTGTTGTTTTTGTGGAAATGAACGGCATGCGACGGCAAAGTGATTCAATTTCCCGCAAAGTCGACACGTTTTCCCTTTTGCTGGACATACGCCAGGATGAGGATAGGGTTTGCTGCAAAAATAACATAGTTTCGTTGATTCTTGTCTTGGTCCTTGACGTTGTGAGTTAAAGTTCTTCGAAAAGTAATTTCGTGTTGCAGCAGTTTTCATGTGGTTGACTGATTCTGTGTTGTTATTTTCCATTTCCTGAGCTTGTTAGTGTGATAGTTCGTAGGCTCGGCCTTGATCTAAAAGTTGTTGGAGAGTCATTTCAGTACGAAGGGCTTTTCGTCGAAGCTGTTGGGACGTGCACGTTTGGACAATTTGTGTTTTAATTTCGCGATCCATGTCTGCAAATTCACACGTGGAAGCAAGGTGTCGAAGGCGAGTGTGGTAAGATTCGAGCTTTTCGTCATGGCGTTGGCTAGCTTGGCGAAATTTGTAGATTTCATACTCCGTATTCTTTTTAGGCTCGAAATAAGTTGTAAGTGATTTCACAGCGGTGTCAAAATCATCCTCAGAACCTTTCTGTTCGGCGGTAAATGTGTCAAAGATATCGTAAACTTGTGATCCAGCCAAGTGTATAAGTAAAGCACGTTTCCGTTTCTTTGCCGATATATCCATAGCGACCATAAGATTGTTAAAACGTTGCAACCATTTTTTCCAGCGAGTGGCAATAGAAGAACTTGAAGTGTCGTTCCCATAAACTATAAATGGTTCGAAATCGGGTATGGCTTTTGCCATATTTTATTATTATTTTTGTCCTCGTCGCCAAATGTAATATAGTACTCCTTCGATGCATAAACACATGTCTAGCTTCTATCTTACAAGTGCGCATGCTCCTAAGGCATGATGTAACTATTACGTCATTACAGAGTGCTTCGTGGATTTATCTGGTTTTAAAGCTGATAAAACAACATTTCAATGAACAAAAACTTTGTAATATTTAGTGGAAAACATTAAGCTATGCAATCCAAAGGTTTTAAATAAAAAATAAGTACTTTTGCTTTATTTTATTGCTTTTTATGTTTTCAAAATAGGCAAGCTCATTTTTTTTGAAAGAATCTAAACTAATATTTTACCCATCATTTGTTTAATCTGACCAGAAATTGATAGAACACTTGGCTACATAAGTTATAAAGGGAATCGGTAGCTGATCTGAAAGATTTCAGTATTCCTGGTACACATTTTAGCAAAAAATGAATGTAATTTCAAAAATTAAATATGCATATTAAAAACAATAGTTTTTATTAGAACAACACATAATAAGTTGTTATTTTCTATTTTTACAAAAACAAGTTTGGAAACAGAGTCTAGTCGTCCTGTTTGATGTCATATTCCATTTATTTGGATATTTTAATAAAGGAATGTGAATTAATAATAATTGAAACTTGTCCAAAATGTTATACCAACACTCAAGTGAACAGATACTATCACCTAAAAATAGGCACTCAAAAAGTGCGTAAGGATTTGCAATTTTGTTGTCAATTTTATAATGCAAGAAAGATTGAAAAATATCAGTTCAATAATGCAAAAACGATGGAAAAATATCGCCCAAAATGTAGTATAACAAAACACAACATCATGCATTACTGTTATATTCAAAGTTAATCTACTACAACTTTTAAATGGTTTTATCACTGCCTCAAAAATAAAAGAATAACTGAATTTGTAGAAATGTTGAAGATTTTTTATAATTTAACGTTTGGATAAAAAAACAACAAAATTATTTCGATGTTTTCGCATTCCGCAACAGGCAATACATTTCTAATTCATTTCCAATGAATACGAATGAAAAATGGAACAATACAGTTTTTATAGTGGAAACACCGCTTTTGATTTTATTTTATTTTTATACGGTCGCTCCTGAGTTGAACGAATTTGTCTTTTAGGAACTTTTCCATTTGTATTTCTAGCACAAAACAGTCATATATTCATTCGTTTAGCTGAAAGTAAGTGGTACAATGTTTAGTCGTTGGTGTATTATACGTAAATGAGCAGGGTTTTTGCCCGAAAGATTGCGAATATCGACAGACACAATTGGCGGGTAATAGCTTCTAGCGGTTCACGAATACTCGACTCGGAACTCAACGTCACTAATGTGTTACCTATCTATCTATCTATCTATCTATCTATCTATCTATCTATCTATCTATCTATCTATCTATCTATCTATCTATCTATCTATCTATCTATCTATCTATCTATCTATCTATCTATCTATCTATCTATCTATCTATCTATCTATCTATCTATCTATCTATCTATCTATCTATCTATCTATCTATCTATCTATCTATCTATCTATCTATCGATCTATCTATCTATCTATCTTACACACTCGATGACATAAAGGATTTTGCTTCGCAAATCCTTAAAAATAAAAGAAAACAGAACTTAAATTTGTCATATAATGCTATGAAAAAGTCTTAGATACTACAGGCATATAGTGAGCACAATGCTTTAACAAACTCACTAAAATAAGTTACGTTATGCTATGATAATTAAGACGATGGCAATATATGACAACATCAAATGTTACCATCTTCAGTGTCCAAAAAAAGTGCCGCGCCCATTTTTCCCAGCATACCCACTAACTTTTCCATGAAGGTTGACTAATAAGGATAGTTTTAAGCCATATTTTGGATAGAGGCAATGGTAAAAATTTTAAGATATTTTTATTTATATGCTATATCACCACAGAATTTCACAAAACAAGCATGCCTATATTCAGGATTGCCGTTAGACTCTTAAAACTGAACAAATCAATACGGCATTTCCTATCTCATAACAAACAATACTTGAACATTTTCAAAAGCATTTTTGCAGCAATTTTTACTTTATAACAAACCAATACAGGAGCAATTTCATAAGCATGTGACAACATGACATTTTCACTTCACAAGTGGATTTGTCAATAGACCTTTCCAAGGTTTCTACCGCCATATTGCAGAGGGTGGAAGAACATTGGGGCGAGCGCGCGGCCACCAATGGTGCCCATACTATTTCCTATTGAGTGAGTGAAAATTACCTTTTAATATTTTGTCCTTTTTCTCAAAAAATTTCTATACAAGCATATCCAAATTTTATTTTCAGATAATCGCTGGGTTTTTTCTGATATGTGGCCGAGATTTCTTGCTAATCGAAGGACAGGAAGTAATAAAAAACGTTGTTGTACAACTTGACCGACGTTTGGACGATGATTCTTGTTATTTCGTTTGTTTAACCTATCTTTGGAAGAATATTTGTCCATTAAGTGTGTAAGTCCCTTGGTGTCCGCAATTATTACTGTTTATATTTGTATATTTGTACAAAAATCATCGCTCAAACGTCGGTTAAGTTGTACAACAAAAGCCGCCGTTTTTATTACTTCCTGTCCTCCGATTAGCAAGAAATCTCGGCCACATATCAGAAAAAACCCAGCGATTATCTAAAAATAAAAATTGGATATGCTTGTATAGAAATTTTTTGAGAAAAAGGACAAAATGTCAAAAGGTAATTTTCACTCACTCAATAGGAAATAGTATGGGCGCCATTGGTGGCCGCGCGCTCGCCCCAATGTTTTTGCACCCTCTGCAATATGGCAGTAGAAACCTTGGAAAGGCCTATTACAACATCTAGCACATTTTTCCCATGAATAGCTCAGGTTTGAATAAAACAAAGCATGATTTAAATTTAAAAAATATATTTTCTAACTAAAGGCAACGGCCAGTTTTTACGAAATTGCAAGAGGAATATAATATAATAATAATATATTTAGATTTATACAGCGCTTAAATTATATAAAATATTCCAAAGCGCTTTACAACAATGAGGTTATACTATATACAAGTAGCTAAAATATTAAGAATTAAGGTATAGGTGTCTATAAATCTAAAAGTTAGAATCAAAAGCTTTCTTAAAAAGGAAAGTCTTTAATTGAGATTTAAAACAGTCAATTGTTTTACTATTTCTAATACCAGAAGGTAGCATGTTCCAAATTGACGGAGCTGCATGCACAAATGCTCGATCACCAAGAGTCTTGGCTCTAGTTTTTGGGATAAAAAGTAGTCCCTGATCATCAGATCTCAGTTGGTAACAGCAGTTCGGTTTTTCTAACAACAGTTCCATAATGTAGCCTGGAGCCATCCCGTGGAGGGCTTTATATACCAGAAGTGCAATTTTAAAATCAACGCGAAACTTGACAGGCAGCCAGTGAAGGTGCATCAGGACAGGGGTAATATGAGCACATCTTGGTATAAGACACGTCACTCTAGCAGCAGCATTGAGAACTCGTTGAAGACGCTGAAGTTGGTATTGGGGAATGCCGAACAAGAGAGAATTGCAGTAGTCCAAGTGTGACGTCACAAAGGCATGTACGAGCGTTTTAGTTGATTCGATGGAGAGAAACTTCCTTATTTGTCGGATGTTGTACAAGCCCCTAAATGCTTTGCTGCAAACCTTGCCCACATGGACATTCATCGACATATGTTCGTCAAACCACGAACCTAGATTTCGGACTTGTTTTACAGGTTTTATATCAGCATCACCAACTTCAATCGAGTCGATTGTAACCTTAGACAGCTGCTGGCGAGTTCCAATTATCAAGAATTCCGTTTTAGTGTCATTGAACATTAATTTATGTGAAACTAACCAAGCACGAACTTCGACGATGCAATTATTAATAGTTTGAATAGCTTGGTCTTGGACAACGGGTGACTCAGGACGGAAAGATAAATAAAGTTGAGTGTCATCTGCATACCCATGGGAAGAAGGTAAGTGCCTGTTAATAATCTGGAACAGTTGAGACACGTATAATAGGAAAAGGACCGGTCCAAGACAGCTTCCTTGTGGTACTCCACAGTTCAACGTAAAATTGGCGGAAAACTTTTGCTTAATATTAATACGCTGCTTTCTACAGGAAAGAAACGACTTAATCCACTTTAAGGCATTTCCGATCACACCAAATTCTAACTTCAATATATCCATCAGAATTTCATGATCAATGGTATCAAAGGCGGCACTCAAATCCAAGAGCACTAAAAGAGTTACTTTCTGTTGGTCCATGTTCATAAGGATATCATTGTGGACTCTTAGGAGAGCTGTTTCGGTGGAGTGAAATTGACGATGTGACGATTGGTTGTTAGGAAGAGGAGCATTATCAGCACAATGCTCAAATAACTGGCTAACAACTGCTTTTTCCGTAGCTTTAGAAACGAATGACAGGTTACTGACGGGCCTGAAGTTCTCAAAGACTAGATCAAGACCGTATTTTTTTGGAATTGGAATAAGAATGGCAACTTTCCATGCTTCTGGGACGTGACCTTCACTTAACGACAAGTTGATCATTTTCATAATGACAGGTGTTAACTCACTGGCACATAATTTCAGCAGCCATGTTGGGATAGGATCAAGGTTACATGTTGCATTCGACGACTTCATGATTATGTTATGGACTTCTTCTTCTGACAGGAGCTTAAATGAGTCTAATTTGATATCAGGTAAACGATAATCTACTAATGGTGGGTCTACTACAATGTTTTCAATGTCATTTCTAATTAGCTCAATCTTTCGACAGAAATATTTTCCGAACTCATCAGCCAGTTTACGTGAATCATCATGTGGAGGCAAGGAGTTTTCTTGAGGTGTGTTGCAAAGTGAAGACACAACCTTAAAAAGTTTTCTTGAATCTCCCGAGCATTGATCGATAAGATCAGAATAGTATTTATGTCTAGCATTTTTCAAACTGGTAGCATACTTGTTACGCGCTTGGCGATAAGCGTCTTTATCATTTTGGCAATTTGATCGTAGCATTACTTTCTCCAGTTTTCTGCGTTTGGCCTTAATACGTTTAAGTTCTTCACTGAACCATGGTACTCTTGGTCTGACAACCACTATCTTTCTTTGTAAAGGGGCATGTTTCTCCAAAATATGTGATAGCGTATTATCATAATGTTTCACCAAATCATCTAGATTGGAGCATGGGTCATTACACAGTTTGGAATCAGTGATGTCAGCTTTGAAGGCCTGAAGATTCAAATGATTTGTCTTACGAAACTGAATTTCCTTTGTCACAAGATTCGGGCGAGGAAAAGAGAGGTTGCATTCAACAAAACAATGATCTGACAAAAAGAAAGTAGTCTTGACTAGGTGAATATTAATGTCATTGGATGATCTCGAAATTAGAAGATCCAGGGTATGCCCAGACGAGTGAGTTGGTACAGTAACATGTTGTAATAAGCCAAAAGTTTCCAATAAATCAGTAAATGTTTTCGCGTCAGTATCAGACGGATCATCGAGATGGAAATTAAAGTCACCGGAGATTACTAATACTTCTGTGCACATAACAATGCTCTCCAGTAAGTTGGAGAATTCTTCGAAGAAAACGCTTGAAGAAACAGGGTGAGTTTGTGAATAAGGTGGACGATAGACTGCTAATGTTTTAATCGTACGGTTGAGTAAAGCCAAGTTCCATTCAGAGTATTCAAAAGATCGTTTTTCACCTCCGTCAATTAAAGTAACTTTAAAATTGGTATTAAACATAATGCCAGTGCCTCCACCCATTCTGTTAGATTGTCTAGGAAGGTTTTTAAAAGAGTAACCAGGGGGAGAAAGCGCGGCTATGCTAACAGTGTCAACGTCTTTTAACCAGGTCTCAGTCACAATACACACATCAATATCGTTGCTCAAAACATGATCAACGATTTCGGCTGTTTTGTTTTTAAGAGATCTCGCATTAACATTGGCGAAACGTAGGAATTTTGTATGAGAATCTGAATTTAAGTTAGTTCTATGTACAGACACGCAGACACAGTTTGAAGGGTTATGAGTACGAGCACGGTGACAACGACCATTACGCGGATGTCTATCAGTACTCAATATCCTGTTGTTTGTACTGACATCAATGAAGGAGGGTATGGAAAAGGTTGGGATGTGGGGTGGTATATTGGGGATCGAAATGGAGGGAAATAATAGGGATTCACAGGAAAAGGGGAGTAATGAAAACTGGGTGAGGAGACAGCTTTGTCCATTATCTTATAGGAGGGTCGTTGGATGTTATTATAAAATTGAGGTTTCTGATGTAGGAAGTCACAATTATTGCCTTTTTTACAGAATTTTCTTTTCCTCAGGAATGGACACGGGGTTAAATGTTTTGGGCGTTTAGGTGTCATTCGGTTAAAACGTCCATTACCTAATCGAGATGTGCTGGTATTAAATTTACCCGTTGTTGACTTAGTTTTACTGGCTTTATTTAGATTAGTAGCTTCAGTTAGTGTGCAGTTTTTTACGAGATCGGTATTCGAGACGCTAGGTTGATCTTTAACAATAAGAACTGACTCATTATGTATATCAGTTTCATTATGGGATATATTTATAATGTCTTCAGTTGACTGATTTAAGTCGGAGTTTAGAACGCTAGGCCGGTCACTTGCTATATTCCTAAACTCGTCGTAGATATTAAATTCATTGAATAAAGTTGGTCCAATGGTATGGGAGGTGTATATGTTAGGGTCAATTAGCGGATCCTTATCAGTAGTTGTAGGGTCATTAAAGGTGGTATTTCTCATACTATTAGTGGGACTGTTGGTCATAGGATTGATATTCATTACTTTGAATGTTGAATTCCCAAGAGACCGCAAGCTTGACGCAAGGAGCAAATTTGCTTCGCTAAGTCTACATATCTCGCTGTCTTGCTTGCGAATAACAGACTCAAAGTCTTTTTGTTTAGATCGCATAGAGTTAATTTCAGTTATTAGATCACTCGTAATGTCCACTAGGGTAGCAATATCTGCTTTCAAGCCATCAAACTGCGATACAGATGGTTCAGTCAGCTCATTAACACTACTACAAACCTCTTTCGTTGATGCTTCGCATGAGGGATTTACATCTTTCGGGTCCCGATTTATCAAGCTTTCGAGCTTCAACTTTAGATTCTCTTCAGCATCATCACTCTGTATAACCAGCTTTTTCGAACGAGGACCGCGCCATTTAATCATATATTCCCCTTCTCCTTCGCTTTTGAAAACTTTAACGTCGCCTCCAGGGGATTTCCACTTGCCTTTCAAGTTTAGTGCTTCTAGAACAAACCTTTCTAATTCCTCAAAGGTTTTAAGCCATACATATGTTCCACTGTCGTAAGATAGACCGTTAAGATAATTCATAGTTGATTAAAAACTAAGATTTTGTTCAAAATATATAAAAATATAGCGGAGCGAAAAGCACACGTACACGTCAAGCGTGTATGTACACATCATTTTCATCAAAATATGTGTTTTAAGACACTTATTATTCCAGATGAGGAAGGACAAACAAATTATTGAACATACCTGTGGAAACAACAACAACTCATCTTCTATCAAGAGTAAAATATGAACGCTTCCTTGTTTCCATACTGCTGTACCCTGCT